TCTCCCGCCTCAGCCTCCCAAGTAGCTGGGACCACAGGCACCTGCCACAACACTCGGCTGTTTTTTGGTTACAGCCAAATTGTTGTTTGGTGGGCCTGGGCTGGATTCAGACCTGCCACCTTAGGTGTATGTGGCTGGTGCCTTAGCCACTTGAGCCACAGGTGCTGAGTCTAGTTTTTTTGTTTTTAGTAGAGATGGGATCTTGCTCTTGCTCAGGCTGATCTTGAACCCCTGAGTTCAAGCAATCCACCCTCCTTGGCCTCCCAGAGTTCTAGGATTATAGGTGTGAGCTGTCTCACTTGGCCATTACTACAAATTTTTTTTTTTTTTTGTGGTTTTTGGCCGGGGCTGGGTTTGTACCCACCACCTCTAGTATATGGAGCCAGTGCCCTACTCCTTTGAGCCACAGGCATCATCCTCATTACTTAATTTTTTTAAAGTACATCAAGTGGGACAGTGCCAGGTACTAAATAAATACTTGATTAATTATTATATAACTTTAAAAAAACTTAAGAATTTTATTTGTATGATTTAAATTAATACACAATCTTCTTATTCTTCTTTTTTTTTTTTGAGACACAGTCGTACTCTTAGGCCCTGGATAGAGTGCTGTGGCATCATAGCTAACAGCAACTCAAACTTTTGGGCTTAAGTGATTTTCTTACCTCAGCTGGGACTACAGGTACCTGTTACAATGCCCAGATAATTTTTCTGTTTTTAGTAGCTCAGACTGGTCTTGAACTCCTGACCTCAAGTCAGCCCACTGTCTTGGCCTCCCAGAGTACTAGGATTATAGGTGTGAGTCATAGGGCCAATCTATCATTTCATTTCTAAACGCTTCATCATTAAGGAAGTGTACATAGTATAAATTTGCATTTTTAATTACAAAGGTTAAAACATATTGTTAACTTTATGAAAGTGTTAAAGAAAGTTGTTCTCATCACTGTTTTTTGGAACACAAATTTGTCAGTTATTTGTAGGAAGTGTTTGACTGTCATTGGTATTTCTCTTTGCAAATTGCCATGTTTCCCAGATTATGTCTGTAGAAATTTATTAAGTCACTTGAGAATGAAAATATAACCATGGAAACCAAAAATGAATTACCAAAGAAATCTAAATTCAAATTAGTCTTTGATAAGGTCTTAATATCTGTTATCCAAAGGCTTATTAGAGATCACTACTATAGAGGGGACCTGAGACTCATCATTGGTTTAAAAAGAGTTTTGTTATAATTTTCAGTCAAATGAGAAATCACTTAAAACAGATCTCTTAAGTTTAGTGTTTGTGTGCATTTTATTTTTGGAAGTAAGGAAATCTGGATTTTTTTTTGCAGTGGTGTCACCATGGCTCACTGCAACCTCTAAACTCCTGGCCTCAAGCAGACCTCCTGCTGTGGCTTCCCAGAGTGCTAGGATTAAAGGCATGAGCCACCTTGCCTGGCCAAAATCTGGATATTGATAGCAAAAGTAAATATTTTTATGTGGTTTTCATTTCTAGGAATTTTAAAACAGGCCCCATGAACTTACTCAGGGCATTCTCCCAATCATGAATTTCCCCATATCAAGGAAGACTGAGGAAGGGAAAGTGCTCTGGTAGCCTGGCAGATGCTTTTTATTTAATTCCTATACTCACGTATGGGATTTTGTTACCAACTGAGTAATCATTATTCTTTTAAACTTCTGCTGTAGTAGTCTGAGCATCCTTTATTATAGCACTTTATAACCAAGCTTCTGTGAAACCTAGATCAGCCTCTGAAATCAAATGGAACATTTTCCATTATTGATTAGGCATAGAATCCACTTTGTTAAACTAGTTGAGGGTAACAGGAGACATTTGAATCATTAACTGAGAAGATGACAGGTCTCCACATGTGACCACTGTCTTCACTAGGTCAGTTATTATTTATTCAGTAGAAGAGTCTTTCAATTTAAAAGTTATATGTGGCTTCTTTATGATTGCGAAAAAGAAGGACATGTATTTCCAGTTCTCGATAGATCTAGGGGATTATTTTGATTGGTTAGAAAATTGCTGCTGAGAATAAGCTTCAATGCCAAATTAAAGCAAATGCTATGTTTTTACAGTCCCATAATCCTCCTGTAGTTGTGACCCTCTAAAGCCTAATCGCATACTTTTTGATCACTAGAGGGACAGGATTCATACAGAGATGACAGCAGATAAACTAAGACTGGGAATATACTTCATGATTCACAGACTTGCCCAAGAAGTGAGTTCGGTCCTAATAAGGGTTGATTTCTTTTAAATAGTATCTGATTTCAAGTAGTAAGTTGCTCTCTTATAAATATCCAATCATGGTGCTTATGCTAATGAGATACAAGTGGCTGTCTTACAGGGTCTCTTAATAGGTTGAATTGCTTTTAGTCTTGTAGGCTCAAAACTAAATTGTCACATAAAATCTACATCTGCTGAATTTACCAGATTATGAGCCAGTTTCAGCGAAAGTTTTCTCTTACTTCATCAGGAACGACAATCGAGTGGTTAGAACCAAAGATACCTTTATCAAATCACTATAAAAATGGAGCTGACCAGCCCTTTGCAACTGAGCAGAGTAAGCCAGTGGCAGTCCCAGAAGAGCAATCTGTTGCAGAATCTGGACTATTAGCAAGGGTAAGGTAATATGAAAGTATGGTTTTGATGTAAAAAATTAGGAATCACTGAAAAGAGTCAGTTCTCTTTTCGCTGTCAGGGCATGCAAGTTAACACCAGAGCAACAGTCTGGCAGATTCTAAGCTTTGTTGTTCTACTTTAAACTTCATTTGTTTGGGAAGATGTCTCTTCTACACATGGTATTATTTGGATTCAATTATGTGACCTTTTTAGTTTTGGTTTTCTTTTGCTTGATAAAAATTTATTTTAAAAACTGACATTTCCATGTTTTTCTGGTTCTAGAAAATAACTTACCTAATAAGATTATTTGCATAATGTTTATCTCTTACATTTCATACCCTGTTATCTTAATTTAACATTGTTTACTATTAAGTTTATAAGCTTAAAAGCTTTCTAGTAAGACTTTTTGATGGTAAGGACTTTATCAAACCAGTTATTTTAAGTATTACTCTATTTAAAATAGCACATAACCTCAGGGTTTAGTATTTTTATAAACCATTATTCATTCCAAATTTCTGAGATGCTAAAGAGTATTATAGATCTGCTGCTGTAACAGGGCATACCATTTTTTCCTTTTGTTAATGTCTGTTGTTTTTATGGTTATAATTACATAAGTAGTTTTATTTTAAGCTATTTTACTTGATACTCTAATAAGCATTTTTCTATGTTCTTGCCTATGTAATTAATGTTTTAAAGGTTAAAATAGGCTATTAATAGTTTATGTCCCTTTTGTTGAATATCTAGGGGTTTTTTTGTTATTATAATAGCACTTTATTATCTTATTGTTATTTTCTTCTTTTCCTTTGAATTATTTCTTTAGATTTTATTCTGAAGCAGCATTGCTGAGTCAGGAGTAATAGACAGTTTATGGTTATTTGTATACTAGTAAATTATTCCTTAAAAGAAATATATGATATACTTCTTATAAGCTGGCAAAGGCACTGGCTTTATGGGGCAGTTGGAGGCAGGGTTGGCAGGGAATAATGTATGAAATTCTTTTTTTGCTGTAGCTTTTTGCCTAGCTTATTTTTAGAGTCAAGTGTTTATTAAGTTATCTAGTATACAATAAGCCCATGTTAGGAATTAGAAGAGAAGCAATAAATAGAGGACAGTTTTTTCACTGAAGAGACTTATAATTTGTTTGGAGTCATAACGTATGTACTGAAATAGTAAGATAATAATATAAAGCAATATATTTTGTCTGAATTGATAAAGAGTAAGCTAATGAAATAAAGACATTTGGCTCGGCGCCTGTGGCTCAATTGGCTAAGGCTCCAGCCATATACACCCAAGGTGGCAGGTTTGAATCCAGCCCGGCCCGCCAAACAACAATGACGGCTGCAACCAAAAAATAGCCGGTCGTCCCAGCCTATGGTCCCAGCTACTTGGGAGGCTGAGGCAGGAGACTTGCTTGAGCCCAGGAGTTGGAGGTTGCTGTGAGCTGTGATGCCGTGGCACTCTACCCAGGGGGACAGCTTGAGGCTCCTGTCTCAAAAAAAAAAAAAAAAAAAAGAAAAGAAATAGAGACATTCAGAGAAAAAAGGGAGACTGAGTCAAGTTGATGAGAAATGTTTTGGAGAGAAAGCAGGATTGGAATTAGGCTTTGAAAAGAGACAGGATTTGAAGAGAAGAGGAGGAGGAGTAATGGAGTCTAAAGATAGAGGAGTAGCATGAGCAGGGATATTGAGGCATGTGCATTTATTGATGAGAAACTGGTAGTTTGGAACCTAGCATATGCCCTTCACTGACATGTCAGCCAATCAGCCAGTTAATCACTCCCAGTTTCAATTTCCTCATCTGTCAGTTAGGGCTAATAATATCTCATAAGATTATGTTATGCTAAAATGAATTTTACAGAGCATTTGACTTGTGGAAAATGATCACAGGGTTGTTGGATTTTACAATTCCAAATGGGACTATTCATGTTGCACTCTGTGCAGTGATACTCTGTGGAGCACTGCTTTGTGTAATACTGTGTAAATTGTGCCCCCAAAGAACATAAAAATTATGCAGGCCGGGTGCAATGGCTTGTGCTTGTTATTCTAGCACTCTGGGAAGCTGAGGCCGGTAAATTGCTTGAGCTCAGAAGTTCAAAACCAACCTGAGCAAGAGTGAGACCTCATCTCTACTAAAAAGAGAAAAACTAGGAAGGCATGGTGGCACACACCTGTATTCCCAGCTACTTGGGAGGCTGAGGCAAGAGGATTGCTTGAGTTTGAGGTTGCTGTGAGCTATGATGACACTACAGCACTCTACCTAGGGAGACAGTGAGACTGCCTCAAAAAAATAAATAAAAATTATGCAGAAGAATTTAATCTTTTTTTTTTTTTTTTGAGACAGAGTCTCACTTTTTTGCCTTCGGTAGAGTACTATGGCATCACAGCTCACAGCAACCTCCCACTCTAGGGCTAGGTGATCCTCTTGCTTTAGCCTCCCGAGTAGCTGGGACTAAAGGTGCCTGCCACAGCACCTAGCTGTTTTTTGTTGCAGTTTAGCCAAGCCTGGGTTCAAACTCACCACCCTCAGTGTATGGAGCTGGTGCCCTACCCACTGAGCCACAGGCACCACCCAGAAGAATTTAGTTTTAATGACAATAGCACCACGAGCATGGGGAAGAATGTGATATGTTTAAGAAGTTTGGTACATGAGATGGCTTAGAATTAAAAATATGGAAGACTTCGAATTAAAAATATGGATAGGGCTTGGCATAGTGCCTCAGGCCTATAATCCTAGTGCTTTGGGAAGCAGAGACAGGAAGATTGCTTGAGCTTAGGAGTTTGAGACCAGCCTGAGCAACATAATGAGATCTCCTCTATAAAAAGTAGAAAAATTAGCTAGGTGTCCTGATCCTGCTCCTCAAGAGGCTGCGGCAGGGCTCGGCACCTGTGGCTCAACCGGCTAGGGCACCACCCACATACACCTGAGTGGTGGGTTTGAATCCAGCCCAGACCCCTGAGCAACAATGATGGCTGCAACCAAAAAATAGCCGGGTATTGTGTTGGGTATAGTCTAAGCTACTTGGGAGGCAGAGGCAGAGGCAAGAGAATCGCTTAAGCCCAGGAGTTGGAGGTTCCTTTGAGCTGTGATGCCATGGCACTCTACCTAGGGTGACAGCTTAAGGCTCTGTTTCAAAAAAAAAAAAAAGAGGCTGATGCAGGAGGATTGCCTGAGCCGAGGAATTTGAGGTTGCAGCGAGCTGTGATGATGCCACTCCTTTCTAGGCTGAGTGACAGAGCAAGACCTATTTTTTTTTGGAGACAGAGCCTCAAGCTGTCCCCCTGGGTAGAGTGCTGTGGCATCACAGCTCACAGTAACCTCCAACTCCTGGGCTCAAGCG